GAGAAACTCTCAAAATAAGTAAGCAGGTAAAGTAATAAAAGCCATCTATTAAAAATCCTATAGCTGGGCTTGGCACCTGTAGCACAGTGGTTATGGCGCCAGCCATGTACACCAAGGGTGGCGGGTTTGTACCCTGTCTGTGCCAGCTAAATAATGACAACTGCAACAAAAAAATAACCAGGTATTGTAGCAGGCACCTGTAGTCCCAGCTACTTGGGAGGCTGAGGCAAGAGAATCGCTTAAGCCCTAGAGATTGAGGTTGCTGTGAGCTGTGATGCCACAGCACTCTACCAAGGGCAACATAGACTGTCTCAAAAACAAAAAAATCCTAAACCTGGCAGCACCCTGTGGTCCATGCCTGTAATCTTAGCACTCTGGCGGGGCCAGTGGACTGTCTTGAGTTCACAGGTTCGAGACCAGCCTGAGCCAGAGCAAAAACTTGTCTCTAAAAAATAGCTGGGCGCCCATAGTCCCAGCTACTTGGGAGGCTGAGGCAAGAGAATCACTTGAGCCCAAGAGTTTGAGGTTGCCATGAGCTGTGACACCTTAGCACTCTACCAAGGGTGACAAAGTCAAACTCTATCTCCAAAAAAAAAAAAAAACTCTTAATAACACAGTTTAAAGTGAGGAAATTATTTGAACAGATATTTCTCAAAAGATAAATGGAAAATATGAAACAATGTTCCATATTATTAAACATTAATCAAATTAATACCACACAGATACATCACTATACCCTATGAGAATGGCTTAAATTTAAGAAGTTGACAATACCTAAATGCTGACAAGTATGAAACACTTAGAACAATAGTTCTTGCTGGGGGGGATGCTAAATAGTAGCCCCTCGGAAAACTTTTTGGTTTTTTAAATTGAGTTAGACATACATGCTTACCTCATGACCCAGCAATCCCACTTGTAGGTATATCACCAAACAAATGAAGACGACCTGCACATGAAACAGTTTTATTATCACCTAAAACTTGAAACCACCCAGACACCCACAGCAGAGGTGAGGATGAATGAGCTGTGGTTCAGCTACACGGTGGCCTGGCAGCTGAAGCGAACGGGCTCGTGCAACACACGAACCTTCAGTGCATTTTGCTACGCAAAAGCAGCTCGACCGAAAGGCTGCTTTACACTTCTATTTATATGAAAAAGGCAAAATGGTAGAATAGAAACAGACCAGTGGTTGCCGGCAGTTGGGGCTGGGGAAAGCAGTTGACTGTGAAAGGGTTACACAGAGAACCTTTAGGGTGATGAATCTTCTCTCTCCACAGCACTGTGGTGGTGGACCCTGGAGTACGCATGCTAAACCCAGACTTCATGCTGGGGCGGTGGCTCCGGCCTGTAATCCTGCCACTCTGGGAGGCTATGGTCATCCTGAGCAAGAGCAAGACCCTGTCTCTACCAAAAGGAAAAAGTTAGCCAGGCATAGTGCTACATGCCTGTAGTCTGGGCTACTTGGGAAGCTGAGGCAGGAGAATCTCTTAAGCCCAGGAATTGAGTTTGCTTTGAGCTAGGCTGACAGCACATTATTCTAGCCTGGGTGACAAAAAACAAGACTATCTTAACAACAAAAACCTAGACTGTCCACTGTAAAGAGTGACTTTAGATGTACATTAAAATAAAACCAACTAGGACACTGGGAGTGGTGAGGAGTTTCCAGTATAAAATGAAGGCTGTGGTGATTCTAACCATAATGACTTAACCTCATTGAAAAGTGGGCAAGAATGCGATTGACCTAAATTACCTTGGAAAGTGGTGTTTTGGATGCTGTAAGTCTGAAGGCAAAATGAACTATACACAAGTTGCTACACTATCAATCCTAAAACTACATTTATGCTAGGATTGAACGCTCAAGTAGAGGTAATGTGAACCAGATTTACGTCAGTCAAAGCAGTTGAGGAATGAATGTCAGAGTGAATCTCATGGTGCCGCCCTGGAGTCAGAGGTAACAGTAAGAGCTCAGGCCTCTGTCCACAAATACAGAAACAACTACAGATACTCCCTGCCAGAGGTAGATTCCCCAGCTCCACCTGCTGAGAAGCCCTGTGATTTGCCTAACCTCCAAGTACCTTCCTCCAAATATTAATTACTGAGATCATCTAAATTCTTTGATACTCCTCTCTCTAAAGGGAAGCTTAGTTTCCTTGCCCTTCAGTGCAGGCTGCTGGGCCTAGTGACTCACTTTAACAAACTGGGAAGGGAAGCTGGCTGCTGGGTGGTGATAAATAGCTGTGATTAAATGTGAAGTAATAGTAAATAGTAAATAGTAAACAAAAAACCCCAAACAAATAGCAAGTCCACACTCCTGGGTTTCACTTTCAGTCTGGATAGTGACAGACAGGAGGGATTCCATTCCTTTGGGCTCACGTTTATAGATGTCAGAATACAGACCGTTTCTAGCACCATCAGGTATCTCTGAGCAAAGGTGATGTATGAAAAAATTTCATGAAACCTTAATGTGAATGATTATGGCCGAGTTCATGGCTTTAAAAATAAATTAAAGCCTATCGCCTGAGCACTGTGAACCTCAGCAGGAAGCTGGCTGAGCACTGTGCCAAACATGAGTTTCCTGAGGGGGAACGGGATTTAGAAAGCGGCAAAACGCAGCCAACGACTGCTCTTCACTCAGAACTTCTGCCATAACCTCCCGTGGTTCCCTTATGCTTTCAGGGTCTGGGTGCGCAAGATGACCCCTGCTTTAGTTCATCTCACTGTCACCTTAGTCCACATCTCTGGCAGTGTTAATTAAAATATGTTTTATTTCCACGATTGCTGAAAAGATTGTAGTAAAGAAGCAAAACAATTTTAGTTCAAAGTGTTTATTAAAGGGGACAATATACAGTGGTGGGTTTAAGGCACATGAAAAAGTTTTGGCATTAAATTGCAAGAAAAAAAGAAACGTAAATTATCCTAGTAAATTTCAGAATCTATTTCATGAGTCAAAACAGTTTTTTAAAAAAACATTTCAACAGCACCGACGGTTCAGCCGAGAGAAGGCACAGGCTTCAGGACCTGGCGTCCCCACGCCTGAGCACCTGCTGTCTGGTGTACTCCCAGATCAGGAGCGCCCCACTCACGTGAACGTTCAGCGAGCGGATAATACCCTGCTGAGGGATCTCCACACAAACATCCAACTGCTGGATCAGATTAGCTGGAATGCCTTCATGTTCATTTCTGACAGAGAAAGGGGGGGAGAAGGTTAGTCTTCCTGTCTTAATCAATTTTTCTCTGAGATACTGTGAATGTTACTGAAAGGACAGGTTAACAAAGGATGCCAGTCTGTAGTAAAGAAACAATGACGAAGGCAGCATTAGATTTACAGTGGATTCTGCATTCACCTGACCAACCCAGGCAGGTGAAGTGAGGAGGAGGAGGGAGGATTTCTGTAAGCACTCCAAGTCAAAAGAAGATGAGGTGTGAATTAGAAAGGTAACATCTTTTAGACTGGGGCTCAGAGAATCTATTACAGACAAAAGGATTTTCTTACCCCAACAACAGTAGCGATTTCTCGGGAAAGCAATACTGGGTGAGGTCAATACTTTT